TATATATATATATATCAGACCACCCCCAATCTAGTAAATGCTAGAGCACTCTCGAAGGAACGGGATAGTTCTAGAAAGCAGGTGGCGTGACACTAGTCACGTGACCTCGCTGACGCCACAATATGAAAAAGGCGAAGCTACCAGGTACTTATGGGTCTGTTTCTGCTCAGTTTTATGCTTGTTTTGTATTGCAGATTTATATACTCAATGCCAACTCATTTTATTATGTCAGGGTACTGTATATCAGTCACGTTTTGTACTTTGTATTATGCTCCAGCCAAGTATTGCCCACAGATAAAAACTTCATTGCGTTCCAGTTTCATACCTGTTTATCTATTAACAAGATATGGTCAACGTTAAGTGGTCATAGATTAAAGTTGTTAGTTTTCTGAGAATAGAAACTGTACCGCTTACAGTTTTGAGAATTTACAGTACAAAATAGTAAATAAATGAAAACTGTTTAATTTCTATTGAATAAATATTTAAAACGGTTTTTATGTACGCCTGTAATGACTCTTCAATATGTTTTATTTTCACTTTCGAATCTCTTGTGTACAGTTAAGAGTATGTTGGTTTAACATAAAAACGAGTACTTATTTCTTAAGGCTATTTTATTTAAGCTAGAGCTTATCGTAATATCTTTTATGTATTACTGCACTATTTTTAGCGTAACACAAGTAAAAATACATTACTACAAAGGTACAAAAATCGAACAAGCAATCAAACTTTAATCAGCGGTTTGCCAGTGGCTCGCAATATTAAATTCTACAGGTGAGCTCAATATACTTGAAAGTCTAAAAAAAAAACAAAGAAAAACTGACAGAAAAATCAATTTAGTAGTCAAGTTTCGATCTTTACGCCAATTATAAAGTTTAAAGGATAGTTAACATATTCATAGTCAATACGGGAAGGCTAAATAATTTACGTTTAGATTTTGTGAATTTCTTAAATTGTGAATGTAATAACGCTAGAGGGCGTTGTGAATTTATGGTGCTTGAAGATTAATTAAACTTGAATTGTGTCCATTAACCAATGAAATGTTTTTATGTGCAGGTTTAACTTAAATTGTGGTATTTAACATTTGTTTTGGTGTGGATTCTTGGATATACACAAACATTTCTATTATTGAAATCTAGGTGATCTCGCAGTTACAATTGCACTTTTTTTCATCTTGCTGTTCTCAGTTGGTCTTGCTATGATCTTTTTTATCCAGTATGGATAAATATATCTTATATTCAAACATTTTATGTTTTTGCAAATTCTCAAATTTTGTCTTTCATGTAATTACTGTGACATTTTTAGCTGATACGTTTTACTGAATAAAACCAGGAAGTCTTAACACTCTAATTCCTGGGTAAGTATATTTACTTAACTCAATTAATTGCAACACATACCAAAAACATAATTATAATTTTTGAAAGAAATTAAGATCTAGCTAAACTGTTTTTTTAAAAACTAATCTTACATACAGAATTTTTTCATAATTTTTACATTGGCTGCGCCTTTTTTTTATATATAACTTCGGTAGAATGGCACGTAGAAACGATTAAAGATAATTAAACCAAGTACGATTTATTGACTCGAAAAGTTGACAATGTATATATATAAATTTCTGACTAAATCTAAATAATGTTTTTTTTCAGATGAAGAAAATGAAAAATCTGTGACCGTTGTTTTGAATGGAATGGAGTCAGAATTGGTTTTTGTTGAATGTACCGCCCAAGACTTTTTAGTAAGTTTTACTAAATGCCATTATATTTAACTATACATTACGAAACTGCACTGCTCATTTAATCCCTATTTTAGAATTGTGATTAATTCCATCTTAGTCTTTTATGTTTGGTTTAAAATTAATTACTGCTATATCTTATTAGATAGCAATATAAGTTTGATAACAAATACATACTTAAACATGGTTATCTATATATATATAATAGCCAAATGTCTGCCTGTCAAGCTCTGTATTGTCTGAACGATTAATCGCAGAAAAAAATAACAACATCGATCCGTCAGTCTTCGTTTCTGCTGATTGTTTGTTTGTTTATTTGAAGTTAAGCACAAAGCTACACAATGGGCTATGTGTGTTCTGCCCATCACGGGCATGCTACTGTGCCACTTGAGGGCACCGTATGTGCTGAACGGTCAATTTGAGGTAAAAGTTATTAAGAACAAATATGTTTCTATTTGTGAGGGAATTTCACAAAATAAGAAGATAATATCAAATTATCTTTTATATCGCCTGAACTTTATTCAGTCCTTTATGTTCCATGTTACCACTCAGACTCATCTCTGTTCGATGTGGAGCTGGCGATGACTAATGGTTAGCATGCTCGAACCCTGAATCCGTAGGGAGAGGACTCATGGTTTGTGTCCTGTTGCCGCAAAACACGCGCTCTACACCCTGGGTACGTATGTCTGCTATAAGAATGAAAGGGCCCGGCATGGCCAGGTGGTTAGAGCGCTCGACACGCAATCTGCGGGTCGTGGGTTCGAATCCACGTCCCACCAAAAATGCTCGCCCTTTCAGCCGTGGGAGCGTTATAATGTTACATTCAATCCCACTATTCGTTGGTAAAAAGAGTAGCCCAAGAGTTGGCGGTGGGTGGTGATGACTAGCTGCCTTCCCTCTAGTCTTACACTGCTAAATTAGGAACAGCTAGCGCAGATAGCCCTCATGTAGCTTTGCGCGAAATTCCAAAAATAAACAAACAAGAATGAAAGTCAAATACCATTCTTTGGTCATTTACGAGTAACTCAAGAGTTCGCAATGGATGCTTTTGTCTTGCTGCCTTTCCTCTATTCTGTCAATTCAAAATTAGGGACGGCTATGCCCATATAGCCCTTTTGTAGCTATGTGCAAAAATTCTGAACAAACAAATAAACTCTTCTGTTTTACAATATGTTATATACCATCTTCCTACTCAACCAGGATCCTGAATATTGTAATAGCTTGATTTTGCTTTAAAATGTAACATTGGATTTTCTGTTTTCTCTTAGATGGTTGGGTGAAAAGTGGTTATTTCTAGCCTACTTACACAGTTAAATTAATGTGGACAGTTTGTTGAATTTTGTACAAAGCTCTCGAGGACTGTCTATGCAAGCCATTTCTCGAAATTGTAATTCTATATTAGACGACTTAATACCCCTTTGGCTTTACACAATTCCGGAGAAACAAAAAAGACAGTAAGATCTTGATTAGTTTCGGTTTTGTTTTACGCTTCGAAGATCTGCCAATTTCTCCAAAAATCGTCTTTCATCAGAAAAGCTAAGCAACATTAAATCACAAAAGACGCGAAAAACTTAAATATCAATATTATCCCTTACGTTTCTGTATTTTCGATTTCGTTGAAATCAGCTGTTTGTTATATGTGTATAGTAGTAGAACGTGTCGAAATTTGACAGAATATATAGAGCTGTGGTATTTCATTCAATTCGCATTCTTATCTAACTATGTAAACTCGAATATTTGGTCACTAAGATATGCTTCTTCTAAAAGTTCTTTTAAAACTAAAAACAATTTCTGGCAATGTCGATTCTGTGAATACTCACTCCACCTTCATCCCTGTTTATACTTTTTAACAGCAAAACGACTTTATAACACCCCCTCCTTCAAATATTTGAATTAGCCATCCTTGTTTTTGCACTTATTAAACGGAATTCTCAGAACTCAAGAAAACATTGAATTTGTAAACAAAATTTTAGAAAATTACACAGCAAACCTATTCGAACCTTAAATGAAAACAAGATAATGTTCAAACATGCTTATTGCCCGTGTATTTTCTTTAAAATATAAGAAATGTAACTTTTTTTAGCATAAAAGAACATAAACAGTACTCTGAAAATTGGCTTCTAAAAATCATTTTGATACTAAAGCATGTCATAAAAATTATAATTTCAAAAGCTTTTTTTAATAAATTTTAATAACACATACACACAACAAAATTAATATATATCCATAAGAGTCACTCTTAGTAGGCCTCGCACATATACATATAAGTGTTTTTTGCGTGTTTGTTTTTCTGTTCTTCCTCTTTAGATTCATATGGAATGGACAGATAGACATCAAATTTTTCAAATAATAATAATAATATATCCTGCTTGTAGGAAGTGTTGAAATAGCTGAGGTATGGTCTGAAACTAACAGCTATCGAATTGATATTGAAAAAATGTTTATAAAACTTCCTTGTAAACCATATCTTCAATATTTGTACCTCCGGGATACAAATTTTTAACCGATCGTATGACTGTACCCTGGATACTTGGAGATGACAGTGAGAAAAAAAAAACTGTCTCAGCTTAGTGCAACCCCGACGGACAGACGTCCGTTTTCCAAAATTTGTATTACTTTATTAAAGTTTTCTGGGATTTTTTAAGATTATGGGATAATTTCACCATTTCTTTTTTTCAAATACATTTATTATATATTTATTAATCTAATCAAAAATACTTTAGGTGTGAAAAACAAAAGGTGCGGGCAAAAAAGGAATGAGTGTGCGACTTAGAGGAATGAAATCAAAATTCTAAATTGGCAGCCAAACTGTTAGCTTACACTTATAGCATTGATTAAGAACTTTACAGCAAATATTCATTCATGAGTTAGCCAGGCCGCGTATTTTGTTTTATCCACTATCATGCCCCAAGTTGAACACCTAATGTATTTTTGATTAAATATCATGACTTTTTATCAAAACATACCAACAACCCACAGCAAGTAAGAAAGTGACACTCGATAGTAATCAACATTAGCTTCAGGATCGCAACCCAATTATCGGAACAGACCTTTGTTTCACAGAACTAACCAGATTCTTTAAAATATATAGTGGTAGAATTTCCTCTTTAAATCAGTGTTAATAGGTTCCTTTATAGTAACG